GATCGTCGGGAGGGATGGAATGTTGATTGCCGGGTCGGCCTCCAAACGCTTTGAGAAAGTTTTCATCTCGTATTTCTCGCTCTTGTGTCGAGAAATGTTCTTACGCAGCTTCTTCACTCGAATTTTCGTGCTTGAGGAGCTTCTTAAACACATTCGAGACTTGATATTCCGCGCTAAAGAGGATCCGCATCACCTTGTTACGATCCGAGCGAAGCTAAACCAAGCTACGAACGACCTTATTCTGGTATGTCTTGTTCGCTTATTGCTATATTTTAATTTATTGCTAATTTCTAATGTTATTTTTGTAGTTTACAGACACGCTAGGATACCTTCTCGAGTCGCTGGAATTTGTCAAAATTCCTCAAAAATCACCCAACGCGAGTGAAGAAGAAGAGTCAATCTTCAGCTACCTCGATCTCAAGAAACAGCACCACGATATTTTACTGCGAGCTCGCGATTTAGAGAAACTTGTACACGGTGCAAAATATGAGATAGTTAACTTACGACAGATGGCAGAAGTGCTCAACACCTCGGAACTCGAAGATATCTTCAAGACTGTCGAGGGCAATACCAAGGCGCTTGCGGACTCTTCCTTAACGGTGGAACATTGCGGCTCATCGCTTGAATTGGTGCAAGTGCTGCTTGCAGGAAGCTTCGCCTTTACCCTCCTGGATAGGATTCCAGGAGGTAGTTTGAATGTGGATATGCCCGAGTGGGTGGAGACAGCGTTCGCAAAGACTATAATTGAAAAACCTCTGCTCTTCTTCGTGCTCAACATTGTTTGGATGGCTGGTTGTATCTACGCTTTGATACGATACAAGAAGAAAAAAAGTCACGAAGTTGAATACGGGCGACGAACACTACGTATCAAAGTGAACAAAGCCATTGATATTGAAAAATTCGAGATATTCCTAGGCACTCGCGTACTAGACAAGCAAGAGAGTGTCTCTCAACTTGCGTCGGAAGTCCGTCGTGTGGTGTGGAAAGATCTGGGGCTTCAAGCTTGCAATGATGAGCGGGCTCACCCGCGTAGAAGTATAGCGTACGCTAAAGGTTCTTTAACGTGGAAGCACAAACTGACGGACGCCATTATGGCAAGACTGGGGAAGTGGAAAGCACGAAAAAACAGAAGCAGAGAAGCAGCTAATGTTGCTGCGTCGGTAGGCAACGCGTCGCCTCTCAGTGCCGGCGCGGCTACGGGTATGCTAGAACCCGGAATACCCGTGGAAGTCGAAGTTGAGTATGACAGTCGCTACGGTTTCCTGCTCTTTGTCACGCTTAATTTTCATATTCGAGAGAAGGAGGTTCCATTATCTGAACGACTTCGAAGCTACGTAGCCCAAATGACAGAACGTGTTCGACTTGGAGGAAGAACAGCACCTAAACCTAAGCGAATGGCGGATGAATCCATCTGTCCTCGGAATGAGACTCTGATCATGGAGCAAGAGTTGATGAGCTGGTTCGCTATGGAAATGAAGCAACACGGCGTCATCAAGAGTGTCGACATGTTTCTGACTGCGCTTTAAGATCAGTAAGAAATAAGTCTTGAGTAGATATGGAAAAAAATGAAAGATATATGTTTTTACTTGATTAATATTGCTTCTTCACCATGTTGATACTAAGCAAAGCCTCCTCATATTTCCTAGTCGAGTTCATATTTGCAGTTATACCCGTATCAGCCCTAGATGATCAAGATTTATTTTATAAAATCTTTGTTCACTACGCCTCTGCACAAGCGAGTCCTTGAGGACCGTCGAGTTGTAGTAGAGAACTTCTACGACATTAAATAACCTCTATTTCTCAATCCTAAATATAAAGAGACATCTCATGCATGAATAAAGTCCAACAACTTAATATTCCTGTCTTAGAACTCTAAGTTCATGTATCAGACGGGCTGGTAGCAGGGCTCAGTATTGAGTGGATGTCTTCAGGAGTGGCAATAAATAATTGGGTTATTGTTTTACTTTCCACTAAGCTGACAGGCGATGGGAATTGTACTGTAATGCGCCAGGGTGAATGTCGAAACCCTTCCGATGGATACCGCCGCTCCTCATATTTCTTAGTCGAGTTCATATTTGCAGTTATACCCTAGATCCGAAAACAAAAACT